CCTTTTTTTTTTTTTTTTTTTGGCTAACAACTTTCAACTTCAACCAGCACAGTCATTTGTAGGCCAACACTTCTGGCAGACACAGCTTGGGAAAAGTTGCTCAGGGATGTTCATGTAGCTTTGTACCAATCCTTTGACCTCACCAGGGATGTGAATCTAGGTCTGTTCACTCCAGCTGGTGCAAATCCTGCCATGGCTACATTCCACAATGGGGGACTGGAAGGTGGAAAGAAGCTACAGTTAACCTTGGATTTGACCTTCTTCTTCTGACCCTCTCCTTCTTCTGAAAAACCCCAGGGATTTTTCAAATCTTGCCTGAGCGATGTACCCTCTTCGTCCAGAAAGAGGTCCTGTACATGTTGACCGTTGGTGTTTTCTTGTGGCTGTGTGGTTTCATTTTCATTGATCATAAAAAGGAAGCAGAAGCTGTTGAGATAATGTCAGCAGCAGGAGACACCATGCTCCAGGACCATGTGAGTAGGGGAAGAAACCACTGCTCCATTGGACTTTCTGTATTCCTGCCTTAATATACAATCTTGACCTGATTTTTATGCAGATGAGTAATTAACTCAATAGTAACTGAGCTGGCAATAGCCAGTTTGGTGTAGTGCAGTGTTTCTTAATTTTTTTTCTCTCAGGACCCCTTCCTATTTTTAAAAATTATGGAGGACCCCCTTTTGTTTGTATGGGTTATATTTATCGATATTTACTGTATTAAAAATTAAAATTGATTCATTTGCTGCTGCTATTGCTTCTCACAATGGTTGGATTTTCATACTGCAATTTTTGTAATTTTTATTTTGAGGACCTTTGAGAGGGTTTTAGGAGACCCCCAGGGGTCCTCAGACCACACTTTAAGAAACATGGGTGTAAAGGTTAAAGACACCAGGCCAGAAACTGGGAGACTGAGTTCTAATCCTGCCTTAGGCACAAAACCAGCTGAGTGACTTGGGGCCAGTCTCTCTTTCTCTCTCTCAGCCCTAGGAAGAAGATAAAAACAAACCACTTCTCAAAATGCTCCGAAGAAAACTGCAGGGACTTGTTCATGTAGCTGCTAGGAGTCAAGACTGACTTGAAGGCACAGAACAAACAATGTGCTAATTGTTGTCATAATCCACCAACATTAAGAACTAAAACACAATTGTTGTCATAATTCACCAACATTAAGAACTGAAACACAATTAGAAAACACTGC